GGCCGACCCAGGGCTCCTGCCTGTCCTGGTGTCGGCCAAGGCATGCAAGCGCTGCCCACCTGCCCAAGTGCAGGGAAGAAGGGCCCAGCTGGGCACATGGTGGGAACGGGCAGGGAGAGAGGCCCACCCCACTGCCTGGCTTCCCGTACTCCCAGGCCTACAGGGGAGGGGAGGAGGGGAGGCGGGGGTGAGGGCAGGGATGGCGAGCATGGTGCTCTACCCCCACAACTTACACAATGGCTTCCTTTGCTTCTTCTGTAAACAAGACTTGACGTATCTCTCTAGCTCCCGCAAAGTGGTGGGCTTCAGAGTCTCAAAGTCAATCTCTATCTCATCGGGATTGGAGTCCCTGAGCGAGGGCTCCCGGGACTGGATGATGTGCACCACCCGGCCCAGCTTCTCCCCGGGCAGCCGGTTGATGTCCAGGCTGAGCTGGCGCTTCTCGTCATAGCTCATGGGCAGGCCCTCTTCCTCCTCCTCCGAGTCGTAGGAGGCTGACGCCTGCTTGCCACCCTTCTTCGGCTGCCTGAGGCACAAGGCAAAGAACACCATGGCACAGAGCCCCTGCCGCTGTCCCCCCAGGCCCCATGGCGCCCCCCCACCCTCTCCCCCCCGCCCCCTCGGAGTGCCCCCCCCCCAGCACCCCCCAGCCCCTGTGGAACCCCTGCCCATTGTCCTCCCAACACCTGTGGAGCCCCCAGCCCATGGCCCCTCAGCCCCTGTGGAGCCCCTGCCCACAGTCCCCCCACTCCCATGGAGCCCCCTGCCCCTCACCCCTGTTCTGTCTGGCCTTTTTCCTCTCTAGAACCAGGTTCTTTTACCAAGAGGCAAGCCCTACGTGGTGCCCTGGGCAGAGAGGCCAGAGGGACTGTCTGAGGGCTGCATATGTGTCTGCAAGGACACAGAAGACCCTGTTTCAGAGGTCAGAGCACAATCTGCTCCCAACTTGGGGGTTTCCCGGCCTCAGCCAGGAAAGACTGTAGTGGTCAGCTCTCCTCAACACCACAAAGGCATCTCAGATTCAGCAGGTCAAAAACTGATCTCCATATTCAAATAATCCAAAAGGAGGCAGAAAAGGAGGACAGAGAAACAAAAACCACAGGGAAGACAGAAAATAATGGAATGGCAGACAGAAATGCAATTTTATCAACCATTACATTAAATATAAGTAGTCTAAACACACCAACTAAAAGACATAACCAGATTGGATAAGAAACAAAACTGACTTACATGTGGTCCACCAATCCCACTTAAAATACGATGACCAAAGTAGGTTAAAAGTCAAGAGATGGGGGGCCTACACCACACAAACATTAACCGAGAGAAAGCTGCAGTGGCTGTGTTAGCTTCAGGCAGTGGAGACTTGAGAAACAGGAATCGTGTCAGGAGAAGAGGGACATGGCATGAGAAAAGGAGCGACTGACCAAGAGACATCACAGCCCTCCATGTGTGTACATCTCAAGACCAAGCTTTAGAACGTATAAAGCCAAACTGATAGAACCAAAGGGAGGACAGTGGGGAACCTAACGATTCTCTCTCCCAGTGATTAATAAAGCAATCAGCAAGAAGAGAAAAGACCCCGAGAACACCACCAACCAAACTAAGCTAATGACGCGTTTCTGAGGGGGGTTTCTGTTGTTGTTGTTTCCCCCTAACTGACATTTAGGTGACAGCCCAACAGCAGAACACATGTTCAAGTCCACAGGGAACACTCCCCAGTTCCCAGCCATAAAATAAATCTTAACAGAAGTATTGAGCATCACACAAAGTATGTTCTCTGACCCTAATGGAATTAAGCCAGAAACCAGTAACTGAACCGTGTCCAGAAAAAAATCTCTAAATACTTGAAAATTAAACAACGTACTTCTAAATAACCCATGGTCAAAAAGGGAAGTCTAAAGGGAAATTAGAAAGTATTTTGAAATGAAATCATACATATCAAATTTGTGAAGTACAGCTAAAGCAGTGTTTAGATAGAAGTAAGTAGTATTAAATGTTTGTTAGAGAAGCTCTCAAATCAATAATCTAAGTTTCTACTTTAAGAGAGCAAATTAAGTGCAAAACAAGCAAAAGGAAGTAATAAAAATAAGACCATAAACAAAAGGAAGTAAAAGCAGATAAAACCCGATGACATCAAATGCTGGTTGCTTCAACAACCAATAAAACTCATCAATCTCTCTTCAGATTCACCGTGAAAAAAAGACAAAGAACAGACACATCACTACAGGCCCTACAGATGTTAAAAGGACAATAAGGGCACACTGCAAACAAACCAATGCCCATGAATTCCACAATTCAGGTGAAATGGAGCAATGTCTTGAAAGCACCAATCTCCAAAACTCATTCAAGATGAAACTGATAACCTGACTCGTCCTGTATCTACAAAAAGAAGTGAATTCATTGTTAAAAGCCTCACAATGAAAACCCCAGGCCCGGATGCTTTCACTGGAGAGTTCTACTTTATATTTAAGGATTAATACCAACTCTGTAAATCTACCCCAGAAATAGAGGAGAGAGCACCTCCCAATTCATTTTCGAGGCCAGTGTTACACTGACAGCAAATCCATAGAGACATTACGAGAAAGCCTGACCCCTGCCTCCCCTGTGACAGGGAGGGAGGACAAAACACGAGCACTCCCACCCCTACCCCTCGCTAACGCTGCTGACTAGCTACCCAGCTGCCAAGGCCCAAACGCCCCGTCCTCCTGCTGCAGGCACCAAGGCCTGTCCCTTCTGCCGCCCACCTCCATGGCCACGCTGGCCTCCCCTGCCTGCATGGCCCCAACTCCTCCCCGGGCCGTCCTCCCAGCCGTGCGTCCCACTGATCCACTCTCCACACGGACCAGGATCTGACCACTTCCGGCGCAAACACCCCCTGACCTCCCTTCCCTCGCGCAGAGGATAAAACGAGAGGCCTCAGCAAAGCTGGCCAATCTCGGCAGCCTCTCCCAACTCGTCTTCCCCAACCAGGCGGCATTCCTCCGCGGAACCAACCTTGCCCCACCCCCACCCTTCCTAGAACCCCTCCGCAGGCCTCCACGGCCGTCGCCGCTACTCCCGACTCTCGGAACGCCGTCCCGACTGCTGCCGAGCTCGCGCCTGCAGAGCGGTCAGCCCTCCTCTGGGAAGCCTTCCTGCTAGCCTGTGGGGGAGGCCCGCCGGCCCTGAGCGCCTTCCCCCGTGCCCATCTCGCCGGGGTCCCGCCCGTGGCAAGCGTCCCTCGGGGCCGTGCGCGGTAGGAGCGAAGACAGGAGGTCGGTGGGCCAGGGGGCAGCAATCCGTGCCAGGCGCGCTGCCCCTAGGACGCCCTGGCCCAGATCAGGAAAGCGGCCCCGAAGACTTGAGATGCTGGAGGCTGCGCCAGGTCGTGCGACCGCTGCGGTGGCTGCGGTGGGAAGGCTGACCCCGCGGACAGCGGCGGGACACCCTCCAGAGCTCGGTCTTCCCAGCACAGGTCTCGGCGTGTGCCCCGCCCCCGGCCCGTTCCCCCCGGCCCCCGTGTCACCAGCACTTGCAGCCAAGGTGTGGAGGCCCAAATCCAGTACCCCTCCCGCCACACAAGCGCCTGGGGCAGCCTCAGCAACCCGGGGCTCGCGGGGGCCCACCTGCCGGCCGCGGCCGTGCTGCTGGCCTTCTTGGCGGGGGCCTTCTTGGGCTGCGCGGGCTTGGCGGGCGGGGCCGCCTTGGCCTTCCTCTCGTCCTCGGGCTTGGCCTTGTGCCTGTCCTTCTCCTTCTTCTTCTTCTCCTTCTCCTTCTTCTCCTTCTTCCTCTTGGGCTTGTTCACCGGGGCCTGCGACAGGGCGGCCAGCTGCTCGTGCACAGCCTTCAGCTGGAAAACAGCAGGCGGCTGAGCGGGGCGCGCCCTGGAGCTCCCTCGGACACGCGGGGAGGCGAGCCGGGAGCAGACGGCCCCAGAGCCCCCCGGCCCCCCCGAGCCCGACGCGCTGCAGAGCTGACGCGCCGCTCACCGGGCTGGAGGCCGGCCGACGGGCCCGGGGCGCCCTCAGGCCGGCACAGGGGGCAGGGCAACAGCCCCCTCAGCACTTAGACCCAACTCTGCACAGACGTCTGTGTGTCCGTACAAAGGAGATTTTCAACAGCTACCTCTACGAGCCATTTGCACGCCATACGGCAGACGGGCAGGATTAAAACGATCCAGGGCCAGCAGCTGACGTTCACCCCGAGTCGCGACACACCTGGTAGTGTGCTAAGCGCTCTACATACTTTTCACTTCAGTGACCCCCGCGAGGGCCGTGAGCTGCACCTCACAGGGGAGGAAATGGTGTCACAGATCCTGGGGCCACCTTCCCTGGGGCGTCACCCCTCCCGAGGCTCAGCCCAAAGTCAAACACCAGCCCCCTGCCGCTAACGGCGGGGCCATCTCTACTCTGCTCTCTCCTCCCTGCCGGAGGCCGGAGTGGGGCCGCCTCATCCCTACGGCAGCCACGGAGCCGGCGCCCACGAGACACTTCCAACTCCAGGCGAGGCACCACACGGCAGGCCGGCATGACCCTGACCTACAGCGCTGCCAAGGGGCCCTCGGAGCAGACGCCCCACCCGCCCAGGCCCCCACCCAGGGCGGCCCGGCCCCGTGGCACACCTGTTCCTGCAGCTCGGCCAGCCGGGTGGCCCGCTCCTCCTCCGAGTCCGAGCTGCCCGAGTCCGAGGAGCTCTCCTCACTGCTACGGCTGCTCTCGGCGCCCTTGCTCAGCACGGGGGCCGCGGGGGCAGGCAGAGGCGGCGCCTCCACTGGCTCATCCGGCATCTTGGCAAACCGCATCTCAAACACGTCCTGCGGGAAAGCAGGGGCCGCCTGAGGTCCTGGACGCCCATGGGGCAAGCCCTTGGGGTGGGAGACCCACACCTGAGCGTCTGTGAGCCGCTCTCGGAGCTGCACCCGCGGTGGCTTCGAAGGCCAGGCCCACAGGGGGACTGGGCCAGCCCTAGCTTGCTCTCCCGCCCGCCCTCCCTCCCTGTCCAGGCACTGAGTGCAGGTCCACGGACAGGGGGCAGGGGCCATGGGGCCAACAGCCACGGATGCAGCCTTCTAGGAACTGGTCCGCAAACTCCCTTTATTAAGCATGCAAGCCTTCTGTAGATCTGCGTACCCTTATGGCCTCTGGGTCTGAGGCCCTACGAGGCTGCAGCCCACTGCAAAGCAGCTGGAGTGCCTGCCTTTGTCTGAACTATGACCGCTATGGGGCCCGCAGCTGCCTGGTCTCGGGGCCACTTGACATTCTCCCCCATTCCTCGCCCTAGAGCTCTTTACCACAGCATTACCTCTCACTCCGAGTTAGGCCCAAAAATTGGCTCCAAAGGCAAAAGTCTTGTTCCGTCAAAGCTGGCTTTGGAAAGCCCCTTGCCAGCTTGCACAGAGCAGGACCCAGGCTCTCAGGGGCACCTCCCAGCCAAGGTCCCCTTTCCCTGGCGGCCCAGGTTCATTTCAGAGGGGGGTGCAAAGCCACGTGGGAGCTTCCCTCTCTGCTAAGCTCCTACACCTGAGTCCATACCAGCTCACACTCGTGAGGTGCCACCCCACTGGCCCCAGACTCTCCTCCTGGGGTGAAGACACCCCCAGAGGCACAGATGCGCACAGAGGTCCAGCCTGCTCTTGGCACGTGGCTGGAGGAGCACTGACAGCAGGCTGCTTCCGTGCAGGGCTCCGACCCCAGAGCTGGACTGGCACGATTGCTCAGTGCACTGGGAATCGCGACTCGCAGCCTCTGTGGCCAGACTGCCGAGAACCAGCTTTAACAGGAACAGAACCAGAGCCACCAGCCTCCACACCCGATTTGCACCAGCCCTGCCTGGCTTCCTCATTAAGCTGCACCGGGAGTTTACCAGGTTCGGGAGCATCAGAGAGCAAACATGGAGTAGAACCGTGCAGAGCCTTTTTGCTCCCAGACACAGTGGGGCGTGGTCTGAGCATAAAACCACAGATCCTGCTGGCTTCTGGGCAGCCTGGGACCACCGGGACTGCTGCCCCATACTCCAAGGGGAGCCGGTCCACGGAGGTCCACAGCCTGCATTAGCAGAGCCTGGGAAAGGCCCACTCAACTCAGGAGGACCCAGCAGCACGAAAGACAGCTTCTCCCTCCTCCCATCTCTGGGTCCTGGGTGGCCAAGGGTGACACCATGAGCTGTTTTACGGGGTTTCAAAGGGTTCTGAGTAAAAGACTAGGTAGGAACAACTCACACAACAAATAGCCTGTATTCTGGGGATAATAAAAACTGCTGGAAGAGAGTAGAGATCCACAATGTTTACTCTTTCCTCCAAAAAAAAGTCTTCCAATTACATAACGTTTTAAAATTTTGGTGCTGTTGGGCCACCTGGGTGGCTCAGTTGATTAAGTGTCCGACTCTTGATTTCGGCTCAGGTCACGATCCCAGGGTGGTGGGATCGAGCCCCACGTTGTGCTCCGTGCTCAGCGAGGAGTGTGCTGGAGATTGTCTCTCTCCCTTCCCCTCCCCCACTTGTGCTCACGCTCCAAAATTTAAAAAAAAACTTTTAACATTTTGGTGCTGTTATTTATAAAAGCAACAACGCACGTCATAGAGAGAGTGCACTGACCCACGCAGAACTAGGTGGGCAGCACCCAGACTTTTGGCAGAAGGTCACACGCAAGCATCAGGTGCCCAGACTCACTGGCAGGCCCGTGACAAAGGCCCCCTCGCACAGAGACTGGAGCTGCGGGAGGAGGGACCCCTGCCCTCTCATCCTGCCCCTCCCCGCGGGAACGTGTGCCTGCAGCTCCCGGGGGACAGAGGCTGGACTGTCTGTCACCGTGTGCCCGGGAAGCAGGCCTGGGACCTGGCCAGTGACGGGCCCCGCTCAGGAGAGAGGTGTTATGCGGGTGAGGCTCTCCCACAGCCTTCGTGGCCGTACATTCTCCGGGAGGCCAGTCTTTCCTGGGTGCCTGCCCCAGATTCCTGCCCCCCCCCGCCCCGTGCCCCAAAGGCCCCTCTGCCTGAGAGCACCGCTGGTTACCTGGAGCTTCCTGGCCATGGCCACCACCTCGTGGTCTGGGGGGTTGTATTTGTAGCAGTTGGAGAACATTAACCGGATGTCGGCGGCAAAGCCCTGTGCGTCTGGGTACTCACGGCTGTCCATCTTCTTCTACAACACACAAGCGGCGGGGGTGAGGGGCGCTGCCCGGCACCCCAGGGCCCAGCCAGGCCCCGCATGCAGCACCCGACACCCACCACACGACCACCATCCACAGCCAGCCCCGGACCTTGTCCCCGGGAGCCCCGAGGGACAGTGTGGGCGCGGGACTCGAGGGCTCGGAAGAGGCTCTGGGACCCCAGGGAGGCGGCCTGAATCCTGGCTCCCGCAGCCGCCACATAACCTCTCCTTGCTCTAGCTTCCGGCTCTACACGCCCCGTAGCTTTATACACAGCAAAGTCCCTGACGGGAGGAGCTCCAGGGGGAACGGGGAGCTTCCAGTAAACGCTGCTGCCAACTCAGGGCAGGGGCGCGGGGGTCTCCTCAGTTCGCGGATCGAGACACTGACTTCCCCGCTGTGAGAATCCAGGCACCGGTGGCCAGCCTGCCCCTGGCAGCCCAGCAGCACGAGGGGCGGCTGGTGGGGCTAAGACGAGGGGCGCGCTCGGGGGGGGGGGGGGGACAGAGGGCGACTGTCGACAGGCACCGCGAGGTGGCGCTCAGAACAAGGTGCCGGGTCAGGGCACGCGGAGGGGGACTGCCGGGTAAGGCAGCGAGCTCCCTGTGTCTGCACGGGTTCAAGGAGAAGCCGTCAGTCAGGGACCGCCTGTCGGCGAGGGGCGCCGCTGGAGCAGGAGAGTACGGGTCTCACTTGCACCTACACGGACACAGTCCTGGATGCTGGCGGGTTGAGTGCAGCCCGATTCCAGGGCCCGCAGCCTCTCGAGTGCCTTGGGTGCGCCCCCCTGCCAGTCGCAGAGCTTCTGACGGCTCCCAGGCTGCATGGCTCCAGCCCTCAGCACAGCCTCCCTACTCTGGGGAGGCCCAGCTAGGGAGGACAAACGGGCGCCCGAGACCCTCTCAACCTCTGCCAGATTTTCAGACTCTGGTCCTAACTTGACCACTGGCCGCTTTCCCAGGGGGCGGGGAGCGGGGGCTGGGAACACACAGGCTACACGTTAAGTGCACTTGGGGTGCCCAAGGACAGTCGGGCAGCTGTTATGTCGTTCCTGACCGTTTCCCAGATGACGGGTGTTTCTGAAGGGGAACACCAGAGCAAATCGCCCGCGTGCATGCAGCCGCCGCTCGGTACCCCAGCAGGACACGGCCTCAGCCTGCAGTGGCACCTGCACACCAGGGCCGGGCAGCCTCCCCACTCAGCCGCTCCCTGGCGGTGTGGCATGTACAAGTCACTGGTCTCACTGGCCTCCCGAGAGTTCTGGGGATTCAGAAGGGCACAAGTGTCACCCTCATCTAGGTGACATGAGCTCTGCCAGCTCGGCTTGAGGCTCCAAGAGTCAAAGGCGTGGATTCCGGAACTGGCTCCACCAGCAGCTCACTCGGGGCAGGCCCTCCAGCCTCAGCTTCCCCGTCTAGAAACAGCAGGGGTGCGTGCAAAGGCCCAGCCCCTTTACCCCCCACCACCCCAAATCCTGGCCAGGACACTGTGCGGGGAGACTAAATGGGCACACAGCCACCCGCTGCCGGCCCAGAGCCAGGACCCCACAGACCCTGAGCAGGGCGGGCTTGGCCTCGGACTTGGTCAGGGAGCCCCGTTCCACCCACTGCCCCATGGTCAAGACCGGCTAGGAGAGAGCAGGCCTCAGGCGAGAGCAAAGCCAAACCACGGTTAGGAATTCTCCCCGGAAAGAGGGGCAGCAGTGTGCTCTGCCCTCCACCCACCTCTGCTTTGCTGGAATCTTTCCCTTTGTTCTCTACTCGCGCTAACTCACATGGATAAAACACCGTCCAAAGGAAAGGACACTATCAGGCTCCCAGCAGGGGAAGGACGGAAGGAACCCAAGGAAGAGACTCAGTCCCCCACGTGGTTTACCCAGCACCACCACCCCACACAGCAAGGTCTGTCCTGCTCAAAACCCCCAAGCAGGGGTGTTTCAGGAGGCTCCAGTACGGAGATTCTGCCACAGGCTGGCATCACTGGGAAACCAGGCAGAATGCCAGTTCACAGAGAAGGTGGGCTACAGTCCCCAGTGGCCAGGGGCACCCCTGAGGGGGCCAGAGACCAACCCCATGCTGGCTCGGAGCGCTACCTGAGGGAGGGCAGGTGTGCTGGGGCCCCAGCCAATCGGGGGGGGGGGGGTCAGGAACCCCACCTGCGTGTGCTCAGGGAAGACCCCTTGGGAGTTCATTGCAGCCCTGGGGGTCTGCTGCCCTTGGGGTCACTGCCACCCAGGCACTTTCTCCCTTACAGCCCAGCGCAAGCCTGCTCTCTGCTTGTACACAACAGGCCGGACCCGAAACAAAACCCACTAAAGCCCAGGGAGGAGCCCCTGGCCCGGGAGGAACGGGGGGCCTGGGCTCTGGGTCTCGAGTCTACCTCCCCTGCTCCAGGGCCCCTCTCCGGCCAGGGTGGGGTGGGTTACCCGAAAGGGCGTCCTTGCAGACATTACAAAACCCGCAAACCGAGACAGGAGACGGGTTCCAGTGGAACGAAGGACCGCGAGGCCCCGGGTTCAGTGATGACAGGCAGAACGCACCTTTGTCCCAGACGCGGCCGGACCCATGCCAGCAGCGGGCCGTGTGCCCGCGCCACGCCGAGCGGCGCCCCAGCCAGCACATCGGCCCCATCACACAGCCGGGACGACGGCAGAGCGGGCGGAGCCCCTGCCACACGGTACCTTGACGGTGCTGAGGTCCATCGGGTGCTTGATGATGTCATGGTAGTCGTGCAGCTCCAGGGCCTCGGCATCCACCGGCTTGTAGAAGGGCCAGGCGTAGGCCGCGTGCTTCTTGGACAGCATCTCCTTGAGGATGCTGTCACAGTGCCGCAGGTGCTCCGACAGCTTGCCCTTCTTGCCCGCGTGCTGCGGCACCTCGCCGTCCTCCAGGTCCTTCTTGGGCGGCTTGATGGGGCGGCCCCCACTCTCCCGCCGTGCCACCACCTTGGCCTGCTTGGGGTCTGACAGTGGCGGGGGCGACTCGCTCCGGCTGGCGGTGATGGCAGACGTCGTGGGCGTCGTGGTGTCTGCTTTCCGCTTCACGCCCTTTTTCTGCAACAGCGAGACAACCGGTGAGCCCCAGGACCGAGCACGGGGCGTGAGAACGTGAATGCTTGCAGCTGCGCTTCCAGAGCGCTGTCCGCCAGGCACAGAGCAAAGCGACTGCATGCACAGCCACACCCGTCCCCCCGGCTCCCCACCGCG